CTTTAATACTTCAAGCAGACTACACTTAACTGAGAATACTTATTTTGTATTAATCTAATCTTCTACTTAAGGGACATTTTAAAACCAGGACTTAATGGAGTATTTTGTAATGTGTAGTATTTGTAGTTTTACTGCAGTACTGAGTACTTCTAGCTGTTTGTACTGCAGTGTTTTGTAGTGATACGAAACACTGTGTGACTGGAACAGGGAGCAGGAAAATAATATTTGGAGAAGGAACCAAAGTGATCGTGGACGGCCGTGAGTTCAGTTATTCTGGTTCTTTATTCCCACAAACAGATGTTGTTCTGCTCAATAATACACATATTTAAATACTGTGCAAAGTGATCTTTTTAATGATTTGAACTAAAGTCAAACGGCATTCGAAGAGTAAAATGTGTGAAAAACCACGGTTTGGTTATCTGGGCTGATCAATTTTAAAAATATCTAATATCTTAACCTGGTTCTGAAGCACATTTCTGTACAAAGACACCAGATTTTGTAACATTTAATTTACAAAACGTGTTATTTTCTCGATAATAGGAAGGTATTTTTAACTTAACGTAGATGAATGAGGGGATATTGAACGGTCTCAGAGTTTATGTCGCTGTGTGTGTCGCTGTGTGACGAGCGTTTCAAATAACAAACTCATCTTCAGCTCTGGCACCAAACTGAGCGTTGAACACAGTAAGTTTATTTATTATTCATTAGATTTAATATCTGTGCAATATAATCTGATAAAACCTTTTAAAGTAAGTGGTAAACACAATATAAAAAGAATCCCATTATAGGAAAATATTGCATCAATAGAGAAACACATATCCCAAAAGCATAATAGTACTTTAATATTAATATTTTGTATTATTTATTTGTTGATGTATACAATGGCATCATCCGCATACATCTTTTATTCTGACAAATACACCCGGTAATTGTTCGTGTTATTTATTTTTTGGAGTTTAATTTCTTTTACTTGCTATTGTGAATTATTCCATAAAAGTGTTGTTAATCAGTGAAGGAAGTATGGCTGTTAATGTTAGTTGTAAGTGTTTAATAGTGTGACTTAAGAAACTGGATTCATACGTCTTGGTAAAAATGAACCAAATCTATCCCACGTTTTATTTTAAGAGTCGCTTAAATTAAAATAAATTCCACCCAATCAGTAGAGAAACTTTTAATAAGGGAAATCACAATTTAAGTATTAATTCTGGTCTGAAAACTGATCCTAGTTCAGATTGAACTCGCCCTAAAGTCACTGAAGTGTTTTTGTTCTGGACGGCGACACTGTGTGAATTACGGAAACAACAAAATGATTTTTGGATCCGGAACAAAAGTGATCATCAACACGAGTGAGTCTGTGAGTCCACGCTGACACTGAGCTTCATATTCAACTCAGATGAGAAAAGATAAGAATAAGATCAAATGTACTTTATTAATCCCAATTTGGAAAAAAATGTGTTGCAGCAGCATAAACCAAAACAAGGCATTGCACATAATAACAACTTAAAAAAGTAGAAATAAACAATTCTAAAATATAAACAACTAATTGGTCAAAGTTAGCGCCGTATTTAAAAAAAACAAATCAGAGTTTGAATATATAATACATTGATGTGAGAAAGTCAAACGTCTGCTTCTAGATTTCAGAAACGCAGTATTTATTCACATTTCATTTATAGGTAATATCAACATTGAATTGAATTACATTAGATATGCAAAACTATGTTTAGGTTTAACAATAACAGCATAATTCTACCTATTCTGATTTAAAACTTGACTTATTATCACAGCGTTGAGTCGACGTTAACATTATTGTATTTACTATATATTCTTTGGAGTTATCAACACTTGCATTTCTGTTAAAAACTTCAATTTGATCACTTTCATTAGATGGGCAGAGTGTATGTTCAAGTTTATTAATAACACCATCATTTGATCCGTTCTGATTGATAACTGTACTTCTTATTAGTTAATGACTAGATAACAAGTGTTAACTAGACGTTAACGATGTTACTGATGTTTTCATTTATTGTATTTATACAGTTATTGCATGTCTCTGGAGATCTCAACACTTGCATTTCTGTTCAAAACTGTCCATTTTATGACTCCAGATTTAATAAACGCAGTGTTAATTCACATTTAATTTATAGGTAATATCAAAGCCGAACATTTTACATAATTTAGGTTTGAAGTGTGTGTACGTTTAAAATGACACCATCATTTCACCTTTTCTGATTTAACACTTAACCGATTATTAGATAACAATGAAAAAATACGACTAACGTAGACTTTAAGGCTGTTAGTTATGTTAGTATTTCTGGTCTTTATGTGGTTATCAGGCGTTATATTTTCTAGAGTTTAGAGTCTCGGAGGTTTTTGAAACAGCGTAACGCTCGGTGTAAATGACGGCACGCGCAAACTCATCTTCGGGAGAGGAAGCAGACTCTTCGTACAAACCAGTAGGAATTAAATATACTTTATCATTTGTTTTATTCATGCAAAGGACAGTAGCTTTGTCTCTATAATTGTTTTCTTCAAAGTTTGGGCTTCACGGTGCTTCATAACAACATCAACAGCAGTAATTTAGATGTGGTTTTTAAAAGTAATGGAAGAGAGAGGATTATTACAGAGACAGCTGAAATATTTTATAATCTCTAAACGTCCCAGTTAGGTGAAATCAGGATTGAAGCTTTCCACACTGAGCATTTTAAAATGTTAACAGATTCAGATCTATTAAGAATTCATCTTGTAGTTTTTAAAACCAATGCTAAAATCTTTGTTAAAATATTCTGGATGCAAATTGGAAAAATGATCTTAATCTTTTGGGCACTCAACACGAACCAGACTCTTCGTACAAACTAGTAGGAATTAAATATACTTTATTATTTGTTTATCCATGGGATTAACAGTAACTCTATAGTTATTTTCTTAAGCGTTTGGGCTTCACGGTGCTTCATAACAACATCAAACTGAAGACAAGTGGCAAAAAGACAGCAGAAACTTAGATATGGTTTTGAAAAGTAATGGAAGAGAGAGGATTATTCAAAGACAAATATCTTGTGAAATTAAAATCTCTAAACGTCCCAATTAAGTGAAATTAGGATTGAAGCTTTACTCACAGAGCATTTTTAAATGTTAACTGATTACAATCTATTAAGACGTAGCTCATGAATTCATCTTGTAGTTTTTAAAACCAATGCTAAAATCTTTGTGTTCACGTTAAAATATCCTGGAAGCAAATTGGAAAAATGAAAAATGAACTTTATCTTTTGAAAGCTAAAAACGGTCTCATCTGAATCTGAGTTTCTGTCCATTCAACACTTAGTGTTTCCAGATAAATATGTAGTTTCTAGCATTAATATTTGGTAAGATGTTTTTGTAGCGTAGCGTCTCAGTGTGTGAACGACGGGACGGGGAGAGTAACGTTCGGACGAGGATCCGATCTGCAAATACACATCAGTAAGATTTAACAATATCTGAATCAATAATTCAATTAACCAATTAACAGGTGAACAAAACAACATGGCAGGTACTTTAATGAACAGCTAGATGGTACTTCATTCAATGATCACTGACGTGTCGTTCTCTTGATTAAGAACAAATGAAATGTTTTTTATTATTATTGATAAATGATCAATTAGGAAGTAAAGCGGCTTGTAATGTATCAAATATTACATTTAAACCAAACAGAGAACGGTGTATTTCTAGTTCTTGTTAAAGCTCTGTCGGTTAAAGTCTTAAATACAGAAGGTACAGTTTGATAAAGCTTCTCCAGGATTAGATCAGTATGTTTTATATCTGAAATGATTTTAACATTGAGCTCTAATTTTAATATTGTTTTACGACCATTTTTGTAATTACCCTCGTCCTGAAGGTAAGCATATTTGATATCACAAAAAATACATACCCTAACGCTACTCTAACGCTAACGCTACTCTAACGCTAACGCTAACGCTAATATAGATGTGCAAAGAATTCCCAAAGATAAACAGTAAAAACGTATTTTTTCAACAGAAAGAATGTCCAATGAAAATCATGTCTACTGAGTTATTTTGAAATAAAACTGATGAATAAATGTAATACAAAAGCGAGCAATGGGTAAAACTATCCAGTCATAATAATTATAATAATTTCCACATGCATTTTTATTTTTTATTTAGCATAATTTCTGCAGTTTAGCCTGTTAGCAGCGTCAGGTTATTGCTGAGCGATAACGCAGAGTGGGATCAATAACAACGTGAAAATGATTTTTGGTTCAGGGATTGAACTGCAAATTAACACACGTGAGTGAAAAGATCCATTAAATATTATTTAGAAATTATTTTTTATTTGTCAGATTCATTAATTAGCATAACAAATATATCGTTTTTTCTCCAACTGTTAAAATACTCTTAAATTAAGTATTTATTCAATATCCACGTCTCAACTAAACGCTGTTTAAAAGTTATTTATTTCATCAGTTACCATCTTCTCCTCTGTTCACAACTAAATGCATCCAACAGTCACAATAAAATGTACTATTCTATTTTAATAATATCTATATTGTGGGCACTTTTATTTTGAATATGTCATACATTATAAAAAGAAATGTCAGACCCAATAAACACAAACATCAAACACTCAATAAACTAAATAATTATATATTTCATGTTAAAAATGCAGTAGGACACTTCCTTACATACAATATAAAGATGTTTTACTATATTAGGAAATATAAACACACACACCATCAGCATAAGGAAATATCTATCGTTTTTAAGTAGATATATAAATAAATAAATATGTAGATTAGTGTATTTGAATCACAGTGTGTGTGTGTGTGTGTGTGTGTGTGTGTGTGTGTGTGTGTGTGTGTGTGTGTGTGTGTGTGTGTGTGTGTGTGTGTTTGAATCAGTGTGTGTTGATTCTTCATCACATTCAAACCCTCGGAGATCGCCCCCCGATCCAAACCCTGGTAGAGATGTTTGATCCTGTATCCTCATCATCTTCCTCTCTGTGTTTTTCAGAGGAAGAGTACAAGCCGTCCTTCTACAAATTCAAGGATAACTCCACCTCGCTGTGTCTGGCCACCGGCTTCAGCAGACTCCGAGCTGCGGATAAGGAAAAAAATAACACCTTCAGCAACATTACGGGCGCCGTGAGGATCGATGGTGACTCACTGTTCAACCAGGTGGCCTACCTGTCCTCTGAGGAGAGCGGACAGTGTGAGACAGGTGAGCCACTTTACACAATATCATCAGTGTTAAAACAAAGTAGAAGTAATTCACGGTTTCCTTTCTTCATTCTGCTTTTTTATTGTTGCATTTTTGCTCTGAATATTGGAGGCCAACAGGTGCAACTACATCTTCAGCAACTTGACAACACTTGCAGCATTTAGAAAACATTCACCAAGGGTTATAAAGCAGATCAACTGTCTCTGTCACTAACCCTTAGTCGTCTCATAACTGTCAGTGTTTGCCAGTATATCTGAAATGACTAGGTTAGCTACGTTAGCTAGCTAGCTTACAGCAGATCAGCAGTAACTCAAATGTGTTAGCCAAGAGGCTATCTTACTATAATGTTAGCGCCTCGACCACATGAGATGACGGTCTGTGCCGCAGCTGTTTTACTATGTATTAATAATGAAGACCAAAGATTGTGTCCTAATTATAATATGTTGTGTCTGTTGTGTTTCAGAGGGTGGACCGGTTGACTGTGATGACTCTTTGCAGCCAGGTGTGTGTCTGAACAGCTGATCAATAAACTCTGCAATGCTTTTTCTGGAACACTTTTTAATAGTTCAATATTGGTGTTGATTTCTAAACTCTCCCTCAGTGGAAACATTAGTACTGTGGAGTTTCTACCAATTCAGTTATTGCTATTGAGTGAATGTAGACCCTGTCACTGTAGACTGTAGACCCTGTCACTGTAGACCCTGTCACTGTAGACTGTAGACCCTGTCACTGTAGACTGTAGACCCTGTCACTGTAGACTGTAGACCCTGTCACTGTAGACTGTAGACCCTGTCAATGTAGACTGTAGACCCTGTCAATGTAGACCCTGTCACTGTAGACTGTAGACCCTGTCACTGTAGACTGTAGACCCTGTCAATGTAGACCCTGTCAATGTAGACCCTGTCACTGTAGACCCTGTCAATGTAGACCCTGTCACTGTAGACTGTAGACCCTGTCACTGTAGACCCTGTCAATGTAGACCCTGTCACTGTAGACCCTGTCACTGTAGACCCTGTCACTGTAGACTGTAGACCCTGTCAATGTAGACCCTGTCACTGTAGACCCTGTCACTGATTCACCAGCTCTAACTGTGGTAGGGTCTCGCTTGAAGGGAAAATATCTGTTCAGAGTTTGAATCTTTATGGTTTTTGCACTTATTGTAAGTCGCTTTGGATAAAAGCTAAATGATATGTAGTGCAACGTAATGTAGTATTTAGGGTTTTATGTCAAATACTATGAGCATTAAATGTTTACTCTTGATGGTAGAAGTGTTAAGAGTTTAATGTGGACAAAAGAGCAGAGTCTCTCCATGTGTTCCCGAGCTGTTTATAGTTACAGTGTATATTTGATAGTATAATTATAGTATGTTCTAAATGTGTGTGTGTGTGTGTTTGCAGACCCTCAGGTGAACCTGGTGTCTCTCACGGTGCTCGGGCTGCGGCTCCTCTTCATGAAGACCGTGGTGTTCAACGTCCTGCTGACGCTGCGCCTCTGGATCACTTCCTGTGAGCAAACACTTATTATTATAATTATAATAATAATAATAATAATGCATTTTATTTATAGAACACTTTTGTGGATTTGATTTGATATATTTAGTGTAAAACAATCATACAAACAAATTATAATAATAATGAAACGAAACAAGAGAATTATGATACTGTACAAACTGAAGCTTTGTCAGATTGATAAGAAAAATATGACTGACTTACTAATTACACATCTGAAAAGGGGCGGGAAGAAGTTTACACTGATTTAATCCCACCCCTTCTCCCAAAAACTACATTTTTAACATATATATTATTATTTTTTGCTTAAAAAATAAATGTGTTATTGAAAAACAAACAAAACATAAAAACAACAAATAAACAAACAAATACATGAAAGAGGTAAACAAGAAAAGATCAGAGAAACTTTACAGAGTAAGAATTCATAAAAACATAATTATAACACACTTAAAATATATAATGTATATATTATCCTTATATATATATTATTAGGTTTTAAAACAGAAAACATCTTACTTTTGCATTTTCTATAATGAAGTACAGGCAGGAGACAAAAAGTGCAACAAATCTCGGTACCACTTCACAATAAGACGACCCGTATAAAGGGTTTAGGAATAGTTTGTAATTCATTTATTAATTAGATTGTGAACACTTTATAAATCATGAATAAGCTTTTATAAGACATGAGATAAACAGGCCGACTGTGACCGGTTGCTTGCCAAATAGTGAGCCCACATGTATCTGTACTGCTAAGCCTTATATTGGCTACCTAGCTTACTTCGTCTCCTTCATCAGCCAGCATCCTTGGTATCTGTTGCTCACTGACTTGATTCTCGCTAAGTAGCCAACATAAGGCTTAGTCATCTTGCCAAATAGTGAGCCTGTGTTGATGTATGAGAACTATGTTAGAACTGGTTTATAAATGGTTCTTAATGATTAATAAAGTGTTTACAATCTAATTCATAACCTAATTAGAAACCCTTTATGAATCCTTTATAAGGGTAGTCTTATTGTAAAGTGGTGCCGAATCTTTATATTACTAAAAAATGACAGTAACAGTATCCGTCGTAAAAAAGGAGTTTATATTTTTCTCCTGAAATCTTAACAAAACAGACATTCATTTCATTGCCAACTTCTTTATTCTCAGCTTGCATCTTATTTTCAAACAGATATTCATGTTTTAATTATTAAACTACATAAATCAAAGCTGAGGGTCTTTGTCAGGACGCGTTATGAATCACTTTAATGAATATTGTTCTTTCTATCTTTATTTTGTAGGAGATCCTGGAGGACGACGGACGGGTGTCTGTTTCCTGTTCTGTAAAAATATAAACTCATCTGTGGATATCTTCAGACACGGGGAAACATCCTGTAACACGTCTCATCTTCATCATCTTCATCATGCTTACACTTTCTTAATGATGTTGTGGATATTAATGAATGCATTTTGACTGTAAATATCTAACATTTAACAGTAAAAGAACATGTCAAATCTCTGTGTGATATTTCCTGTGACGTTAAAATAAAAAATGAGAAAACAAACTGGATTATTGTGTTTTTATTTTTAAATATAATTTCTGCTTTAACTTTTGTTTTGAAGAGGACGAAAAGTAATACATGCAAAATAAACCAATAATCTTCACTTTCCTGACCTTAGTACACACAGCTGGAAGTGTTTCATGAGCTCTTCACATTTAACACACAATAACCATCAATGCGTATCATTTGAACACGTATGGAAATATTTTCACCTTTACTTAATGATTGTATTATAATCCACAGCTTTGTGTTTAACCCTTTAGCGGTGTTCATATCTGTGTTACTCAGCCAGTGTTCGTGGGTCAGGTGGACCCGCTGCCTTTTTTGGGTTTCAATTCAACACAATCAAACTATTTGATGTTAAAATACTCAACAGATGTTTACTTCATCTCAATTACAGGCAATCTAAACAGCACATATGGTTCATATTTGCCCTTTCACATTTGTTAGATCACATTAATGAATGAAAGTGCTTCTTGTTTCTTTGCCCGCTGACCGGCTGGTCCTGTGGCTCGCCTTGTTTCTGTAACTAGCTCATGCTCAATCTCATCCTCTTCTTCAAAGTCACTATCAGTCCTCACATTCTGAAACCTCTTCCTCTTCCTCTACATCAGTGGTTCTCAACTGGTGGGTCGCGTCCCAAAAGTGGGTCGCGGACCCGTTTCGAGTGGGTCGCAGATGTGTAAGTGAAGAAAAAAAAAAGTCAAACTTTTATTTATAAGGCCCGATTTTCTAACGCTGTGCATGCAGTAGGCGTTGGACTGAAAGTACCGGAGACCATACACGGTTTTGAAAGCTTCTGTCACGTAGTGATCATCTTCTCAATAAAACATCTTTGCTGATGTTTTTTCGAGTCTTCTGGCCAATCAGAATCAAGATTGTTGCCGGAAGTCCCCACGGAGAAAAACTTTGCGGTAGAACTATTCTTTATACATTTTATTTTATTTAACCTTTATTTAACCAGATAAAAACATTGAGATAAAATCTCATTTTCAATGCTGACCTGGCCAAGAAGGCAGCAACGTTACACATAACACAAACATATAAAATACAGAGAACATAACAAAGAAACCAAAAGAGGAAAAAGCAGTCACTACATTGAGCACATCAGGACAATAAGAAAAGTACACTACTTGTTACTGCAAGAGCAGCTGGTGGTGAGGACTTCAGACAACTTCAATTTAAAACATGATATAGAGACCTTAGTTTAAGGCGTGATTGAAGGTCATTCCAAGACCAAGGACCATAATAAGAAAGACTCCTTTCTCCAGCCTCAGTCCGTACAGTAGGAACCTGGACCCGTATCCAGGCACTGGGTCTGAGGTTGTAAGAGTCACAAACTGGAGCAAATCTGACACATATGTGGAGTGGAAGCTTTCCTAAAATGGCTTTATACATTAATAAAAACCAGTGCTGCATCCTACGCATAGTAAGTGAGGACCATCCAGTTAGGCTATACAGTGTGCAATGATGAGTCCTATAGGGTGCATTTGATACATCACAGTGCAGCATGGAATCATACATCCATGGAACAACTTCAGATACAAATGAACACATAATGAAATATGACCGACGGTTTGATGATTGACAGGTCACAGAACAATGGGGGCTATCTACCCTTACCAACAATTTAAAGTAATTCACACAGACAAGTTCAGCTGTCAGAACAAAGTGAAAAACAAACAATGGCATAAAATATTATGAATATGTCGGGTAGTAATAGATTTATTTATTTTCTTCTCAGAGTGTACCAGAATCCCCCCAGACCCCCCTTCTGGGGTTGGGTTTTCAGCATGTGTGCCTCTTTATGTTATAAGGTTCAACTTTGATTCCATCATCTCATTAAACCTTTTCTTAAAGCATACTTTAGTTCTGTGAAGGGATATAAGGGATATATGCACTGTACTTCACTTTCATTAATATGTTATGCTGAAAAGCGTATATATATTACCGCACGATTTTTTGTTGAATAGATTTGAGTGGTTCAAATTTCGGGTCGCGATTTATTGACAAAGGAAAAAGTGGGTCCCGAGGCCTGACCAGTTGAGAACCACTGATCTACATCATCATCAAATGGTTCTCTCTCTTCCAGAATCATTTGCAAGGCCCTCTGAGCAGAGAACATTTTGGCCATCTTGATCAGTTGTGATAAGGACCCAAACTGGCAAAGCTTTATTTATTGTGTCTTGCCCCAAATTTGCAGCTTAGATAGAGTGTGAAAAAAATTAAGATTGGTTCCCGCATAGCATAATGCGGGAATGTGAGAGCAGACAGGTGTCTGTGCTTGAATTTATCAACAATGTTGCAACCTTGTGCGGGAATGGCAGGGGCAGAAACATATGAGGGGCCGTACAGGCCGTAATTCATACTGGTCCTCTCACACACATACATTCTCCTTTTACAAATTCATTCAATGTTTACATTTAATATTATAAATAATATATGCATGTCTGAAGACAATATATGTATGCAAGAGAAGAATGTATGTATGTGGGAGATAAGGTATAGTGGAAACGGAAGGCAGGTCATTATCGCGCTGTGATTGGCTCAGAAGGTCGAGCGGGGTGGGCTCATGTTCAGAATTTCTGATTCAAATCAACATGATGGAGGGAGATGAATCCGTGTATCTACGGACCATTTGTTTTTCTTTATTAAACAAGTAAAGTTTGCTTTTAGTTTTTTACCTTACTAAATGGTCTAATGGTCATTGGAGCAAGGGGCGGGGCGAAACTCACGGATGTGATTTCAAAACAAAAGCACTCGTTTGCTTGGAACGGTGATAATATTATAATCAAGGGGAAACAAGGTGAATTTAGCGATCACAACGAAAACGGCCAAGACACACATTGAGCCCAGAAAATGGATGTTATTAAGGGCTGTAAATATAATAAGCCTATGTCTAAAATGGACAACATTGTTAGGAGAGCCGTCTCTCGCGTTTGTTTTTTCAAATCAGCAGCTTGTAGTGCCGAGAGATGGGAGTCGGAAGCGGTGCATTGAAGGTACAAAGTGGTGCTTTAATGAGCAGCAGAAAACCACATGTTGTCGGGTCGCAGCCTGGGAAGGAGAGAAAAAAGCAAGGAGGGCACACAATAAATACAGTCAACAACATAAGTGTCCGTGCGGAAACAATACCCCCAACCTGTAGTTCCATGAGTGAATTATGTAACCTAGTTAATTAGTGATCACTACACAAGCCCCCCTAGAATTCAACCATGGACACAATCCTCGCGTCCGGGAGGAAGCACCACAGGGGCCGAGGAGGGTGGGGTCGCAGGCGAGGGCCGGGCCATGGAACGGGCCGTTGGAAGGAGGCCGCAGGAGCGGGCAGGGGGGCCCCAACGAGGGCGAGGGCATCCCCACCGGGGGGGTTGGGAACGGGCCATGGAACGGGCCGTTGAAGGCATGGGCGATGTCCGAAACCGCCGAGGCGAGGGAAGAGGCCAGACAGGGTCCCGAAGCGCGCCACCCACGGGCCGATGAAGGCATGGGCGACGCCCGAAACCTTAGAGTCGATGCGAGACGGGGTCCAGAAGCGCGCCACCCACGGGCCGAAGAAGGCATGGGCGACGTCCGAAGCCACCGTCGAGGTGGTGAAAAAAACGAGAGGGTCCACACGAGGCCGACCAGACATGCTCGAACCTCCTCTCAGGCACCAGAAAAAGCTCAAAAGGGTCGTCCTGTCCACGATCAAAAACAGGTGGGCGAAATTGTGAGAGGATCCACACGAGGCCGACCAGACTTGATCGAACCTCCTCTCCGGCACCACAAAAAAAAAAGGGGCTAACAGTCGGATGTCGATAGCCAATGGATGTCGTTAGCCGCTAGCTGCTAGCTGTCGTGGCTAGCCGTTCTCGACGGCCGTTAGCCGCTGTCGGCGGCGGCGGCGGCGGCCCCGGAGCCTCTGCTAGGCGGCGTGCCCCCACCAGGGAAGGTGCCGCAGTGTGTAGTGGCCAGCACCTCAGGGGTAAATCGCCGGGCGGCCAGGAAGAACCGGCTGGCTTCTTCGGCCAAAGCGCGGGGCCCAACACTAGCCGTGTTAGCTAGCGCAGCCTGGACATGCAGCCGCATGTCCCGAAGAAACAGCTCCATGAGGTAGAAGTCGGGTTCCTCCATACCTAGCAGGTCGTGCATCGTCTCCTTGTAGTCGGAAGCCGAGACGATGCGGGAATGGCGAGCGACGTCCTCAGCTATTCCGTGGGGCGCACCGAGCCTCAGTCTGTGTGCACGTGGCAGCCACGGACGTCTCCAAAAATCTCCGGCATTTCGAGAAAAACAGTGTTTGTTTTTTGCCGTGTTCGGTTCAGTCTCGGATCCTTCGCGAGACTTATGTCGGGGTCACCAATGTAGTGCCGAGAGATGGGAGTCGGAAGCGGTGCATTGAAGGTACAAAGTGGTGCTTTAATGAGCAGCAGAAAACCACATGTTGTCGGGTCGCAGCCTGGGAAGGAGAGAAAAAAGCAAGGAGGGCACACAATAAATACAGTCAACAACATATGGGTCCGTGCGGAAACAATACCCCCAACCTGTAGTTCCATGAGTGAATTATGTAACCTAGTTAATTAGTGATCACTACAAGCTCTTCATTTTTTTTCCTGCTATATTTGACGAGTGATACAAATATCTTTTACCACAAGTTATTAATAAAACTGACACTGTTGGACTCAGTAGTTGACTGCTACCAGAAATAATATGAAGTACTTTTACTGTGCACTTTTTGAGTAATCCTCTGTCAAAATCCCCTCCATAGTAGGCCTATGTATAATCATGGTTGGGTTGTAACGGAATACATGTGACGGCGTTACGTAATCAGAATACTCTCTCTCTCTCTCTCTCTCTCTCTCTCTCTCTCTCTGCAGCGTGTCTGTGAGACCCCGCCCCCGCACGCAGATGAGAGAGAGAGACTTATCTTTTAAAATGTATTGAAAGTTAGAAACGGAGATGGTTCGATAAAATGTGCAAGATAACGTTTATGTAGCATTTCTTTATTGTTGAAATGATGTAATTT